AAGTGATGGAGTACCCGTAGGTAGAAGTCTGACTTGGTTCCATGACGCTGAAGAAAGAGGATTTTTTGGGGAACTACTCCACATTTGAGCATCGAATGGGAGAAAACCCGAAAACAACTCCCACCAGGTAGTCCGACTCCCGAGGCAAGATGCTTAACATCCCAAACGCCATTGAGTCCCCTCGTTTTTGAAACAGTGTCTACAACAAAGCCGCCAACGGACTGACCCTCCGCCCTAATACTCACCAGAGCAGCGCGTTGCCACTGAGTCACGAGCCAGGCTTTTTCTTTTCAAAAAAGGCACTGTTGTTTCATTAAATGGAGCGAAAAAAAATCAAATACACGTCACTCTAAATCAGAAAAATAATGATAAAATTTACCGTATATATATATATATATATATACGGTAAATTTTATCATTATTTTTTCGAGTTGGGGTATATACACTGAAGTGACAAAAGTCATGGGATAGCAATATGCAAATTATCAGATGGCAGTAGCATCGCGTAGAACAGGTATAAATGCGCAGTGCTTTCGCAGAGCTTTCATTTCTGTTCAAGTTATTCATGTGAAGAGGTTTTGACGTGATGATGACTGCACGACGGGAATTAACAGACTTTGAACGCGGAATATGTTAGTTGGAGCTAGACGCATGGGTCATGTCATTTCGAAATCGTTAGGGAATTCAACATTCCTAGATCCACTGTGTCAAGAGTGTGGGACGTACAAGGGACTTGTCTGTTAGAACTGTGCGGAGAAATTTGGCTTTCTTGCGCTATTCCAGCAGAAGACCGACTCGAGTGCCTTTACTGACAGAACGATATCGCTTGCAGCGACTCTCGTGGGCACGTGAGCATATCGGTTGGTCCCTAGATGAATGGAAAACCGTGGCCTGGTCCGATGAGTCACGATTTCAGTTGGTAAGAACTGATGGTAGGGTTCGAGTGTGGCGCAGACCCCACGAAGCCATGGACCCAAACTGTCAACAAGGCACTGTTCAAGCTGGTGGTGGCTCCGTAATGGTGTGGGCTGTTTTTTCATGGCATGGACTTGGTCCTCTGGTGCGACTGGACCGAACATTGACTGGAAATGCTTATGTTCAGCTACTTGGAGAACACTTGCAGCCATTCATGGATTTCATGTACCCAAACAACGATGGGATTTTTATGGATGACAATGCGCCATGTCACCGGGCCACAACTGTTCGCGATTGGTTTGAAGAACATTCTGGGCAATTCCAACGAATGATCTGGCCACCTAGATCGCCCGACATGAATCCCATCGAGCATTTACGGGACATCATCGAGAGGTCTGTTCGTGCCCAAAATCCTGCACCATCAACGCTTTCACAATTATGGACGTCTATCGAGACAGCATGGCTCAATATTCCTGCAGAAGACTTCCAACGACTTGTTGAGTCCATTCCACGTCGAGTTGCTGCACTTCGCCGGGCGAAAAGAGGGGCCGACACGATATTAAGAGGTATCCCATGACTTTTGTCACTTCAGTGTATATATATATATATATATATATATACCCCAACTCGAAACGATATATATATACTGAAATTGTATATAGCCCCAACATTATTATTCGTGGCCAGTGGTAACGTGGAAAAATTCCTTTTTTAATTCTCGATTAATAATACTCGAGTCTTAAAATAGATTCTTTGTACACATTTGCGATAAACTATTTCACATGAAACATTTACTACTAGAACTCGGTATCAACTTCCTACATAAAAACAATTGCTTCCTTTCGATTTTCAGCTAGTTATATTTAGTATGAAAATTATAAATAAATGTTTATATCTCCTCACTAGATATATAAATAACATAAATTTTAAACTACTGAAACGGAAATATCTACAAGAATAAGAAAAAGTCATGGGGCCTGAAAGGTCGAGTGGCTAACGCTCTGGCGCTTGGTACCACAGGTTTCGGGGTCGAGTCCCGGCGGTGGTTCGTAACGTTTGTTGTAGTGGTTCGGAATCCACTTTAAACAGTAGGTTCCCGATCTAACATGATCGTAGAGCGTCAGGAGATATTGTTACTCCGCGTCCGTAGCTTATCTTCAATCTACATGCACCTTCTGGATAGTGCTAAGTGAGTAATGTATGCGCAGCGCTTTCCTTAAAGCATCAAAGACAATTGTCTAAGTCTTTGCCAGCTACATTAGAACCAAAAAAAAATAAGAAAAGTCATATTTACGGTTCCAAATCGAACACAACTAATCGTTTTATACTAAGTGAACAAGAAAAAAGAAAGCATAACCAGAGGCCCATTGACGACCCCAATCGGCACAAAGGAAAGCTACTTATCCCTAGAAAACGGATACCTCCTACTGTTAAGAAGGCAAACAAACACAAAACGAGTCCCCTCACGCATGAGGTAACCCTCTTGTGTGCGACCACCCTGCACTTAGTTTCGGAAGCTTAGGGATTCCGCCACCTACAGACGAAAGCGATCTGCGCCGTGGGTCCAGAAGCTGAAATTAATGACTACTGACTCAGCAATGGCGGAAGAGATAACCTTTCCATTTAAAAAGACAATGGCGTGGGTGACTTTTTTTGCACACCGGAGAAGAAGAATAAGTCAATTGCTTGCGTTTATCGGGATCACGGTGCGTGAAACTTCGACAACCGTAATTAACGGCCCTAACGACCGTTTTGTCGTTGGTCCTCTGATCACATGAGTGACGATTCTCGGAATGGGTGGCGATGCTTTTGCGAGACGCCACCAGGAAGAAAAAGCGGCAGGATGTTTGGGTTTGGCAAGTCATGTGTGCTGTTGGAAGATTACGCTACACCACGGGTGGATCTACTTTTTTTTTTTTTTTGCGTGTCCGAGGCGGATTTTTGCTTGAAAAGTCAGTCACAATGCACTGGTCAGTTTGTTGTGTTATAGAGTTACAATATTTACCAAGAGATTTCAGCAAAATTGGTTGATTGGTGGGGTTTAATGGCACAAAAGCCAGATATGGCTATGCTGCGCCAGACGACGGTACTTTTTAAATTCTTGTAAAATGAATTCGTTAAAAGCAAAAATGTCTGGTGTTAGAACAGGTAAGATTCAGTAAGAAAAAAAATCAGATAAATAATGAATTAAAATTCATATAAAATCTATTAAAAGTAGTACTGGGAAACATTGCCAATTAAAAGAATGTAAAATACACGGACGAAAGATTTCAGCTAGAGAAAGAATAACTAACATATTTTTAAAATAAGATGTTTTTTAACTCGAGAATTCTCTGTTCGTAAACTCTCTGACCAAAGTTTTTATTAATGATGGGAAAGATGTTTTTTTCTTATAATAGATAGTATAAAGTAGATCATTATTTTCTGTAACTTAATTCAAAAGTATTAATCACGTACGTTAAGTGTATGAATTATTTTTAAGTAATTTTAAATATTATTAATTCTTTAATATAAAATTTGTAAAACAAGGGGAAAATAATCCTGATATTATGGTGATTTTAAAGAATAATATAATTTGGCTTTTTCATATGGAACTATATGATTTTTCTGTCTTTCAAGTGGAATTCACCGGTGATTGTAATCTTCACAGTAATTGTTTTACTATTTGTGTTTGATTCTCATAAGCGGTAATTTAAAACAGGTCAGTGTTTTATCGTTAGAATAAATCGCAGAAAGTAAGAATTTTCATTATTCCGCATTATTTTGTACCTTGGAAATCATATGAAAAACTGCATACTCTTAACAAATATATGATTCCATGAGATTGTATTTGCTAATATAATACGTTAATATCTTAATAACCCTTCTTCTTCTTCATTGGCGAAACAACCCAATGGTGGCCCTAATACCGTCTGCCTGCTGGTTGATATAATAATATAATATTACTATTGAAATTGTCTTAATGCAATATGGATAAGTATTTAATTCTATATTTAAGTAATTAGAAAGACAATGAAAGAAAAATAAACTTAAATTAAGTAAAAAAGGACTCTTCTTCTTTATAAATCAATGACAATGTATAAGTGCAATGGCTGGCGTAGGCATTAAAAAGTCTCTATTTTAAGTTTAAAAAAAAATGGAAATATATTTTAATTTAAATAACTTACTGTAATTTGAAATGATTTTTAAACGTGCTAAAATAAAGATGGAAAAAAAAAAAAATAGAATGGGAACCACGATTACACTGGACAAATACAAATTTATAACATATTTTTCAATTGGCATATTTATTCTTTAATACAAAGTACTACTCTTTTGAGAGGTTTTTTTTTTTTATTCATATCTATTTTGTCTGATGAATAAATGCTTTACTTAGATGAACATTTCAAAATTTTTATTCACCTTCATTTATAGTCCCCATTATATTAAAGAATTTTTTATTTATTTTTATTTTTATTTATTTATTTTTTTTTATTCTTCATTCCACACTTATATTTGAGAATATAATGTTTTGTCTTTTAAGTGGTGATTCACATTGGATGACCCAGTTCCAAAATAGTTTTCACTTTCATTATTTTATCACATTTTTCATGCCCTATATTAAACTTAATATCTGCCAGTAGACAGACGGCCTTGGCCCATCACGGGACTGCTGTGGCAATGAAGAGGAAGAAGAAGATTTTGAAGATATTCAACTTAATAGTTTCATGAAATAATGGTTTTTTTAAGGACAGTGGTACATATTGACTTCTTTTTTGTAGACACGGATTCAAAAGAATTATCATAAAATATGTTTGTTGTTTCTTATCCCACTTGGTTGACCAAGCCCACGAGCCCATACGTACTCATGATTGAAGGGGAAGGAAGCAACTTCTGTTGTGAGGGAGCACCCCGTAGGTAGAAGTCTGACTTTGGCTCCGTGACGCTCTTACAGTCATAGGAGACCGGGACCTATGGCTTAAAGTGGATTCCGAACCACTACAAACATCCATGGCACCGCCGGGATTCGAACCCGAAACTTGGGGGCACCGAGCGCCAGAGCGCTAGACACTCGGCCATTCAGGTCCAAATTTGTGAATGCCAACTGCATGCGGTGTTCCCAGGTGGTCACCCACCCAAGTACTGACCGCGCCCAATGATGCTTGACTTCGGTGATCTAACGAGAACCTCATAAAATATTAAATCCTTCAATGCTATTGTTTTTGCAATTTTCCACTACGTGTTTTGGTTTTTCTCTATAATATCCACGAAATAAAAGCGTGAAAATGAAGCTATTTGTTTTTAAAAAATCCAAAAACAGCTTACCTGAGAAATAGGTGTAACCGGAATTCGGTCCGGACACCATGTCCGGGCTGTCATCGAGTCCGTCCGGGGACATGCCTGGCCTGAGGGGCCGCATCGCCCTGCGGGGACTGCGGAAAAAGTGTCTCCTCGCACCCATCGAGCTGAGTTGTTTCATCCTTCTCTCTTTAGAGCGACGATTTTGGAACCACACCTGACGAAGAAAAAGATTTACTATACCAGAATGAAATGTAAATTATAATCGCACGCAAAACCAAATATTAATGTCATAATTGTAAAAATTGTAATTTTATGAATTGCGAAAATCATCTCTTTAAAAGGATCAATTTGAAACATTAAACAGTGTCGTAGGCTAGATGCAGCATTAATTATTAAGTATCATTTTATTTTGCATACTTCAAGCGTTATAATTAGAATATTATTAAACGTTTACAGGGTAGAACTTTTTAAGTAAAGAAAAACGATTTTATTTTATTATGTTTTATTTATTTCATGTCGAAAACAATTCAACTAGAAAGGAAAAAAAAAAATTAAATACAAAAAATATTAAAGTAATTCATGACTTCTTAATGATAACGGTGAATAGCCAAAGAAAAATTTCATATGAGGAATATTAATTCCTTTTTTGACAATGTACTGTATCATCACAAATTTGAATTTTTTTAATTTAAAAAACATTTCAATATTAATTTACGTTATTTAACCATTCTTTTGGTTTAAGATAAAAGAATATAATTTATGAAAAAGAGTAGTCTCAATAAAAAGAATATATTTTTTTAGTGATTTATATACCTTAGCATGCATATGCTTTTATAAAAGGATGAAACACATACCCAAATATACAAAAAATCCAACAAGAAAAAAAAAAGGCATCTAATGCGTAATTTATTTCATTCCTAAGCAAAACTCACGAATTGACTCATATTTTACAAAATTGGAACAAAATTAAAGTAGACAAAATAGCGAAACTAGGAAAAAAGAAATTGAAAAAAAAAAAAAAAAAAATTACTAAGTATACTACACTAAGCATATGCTATAAAAAACGACAGAAAAATCCCGAGATTACGTAGGATATTAAATGCAACCTCCTTGCCCTACTCGATAAATAAATAAATCACCGGATTTTTATTATAAGCTCTTTAATGGCTTAACGTAAACATTTAAATCTCTAGAACAGGCGAAAATAAAAAGGACTTCTTTTCATTCCTATCTACCCTTTAAAAAAAAAAAAAGAATAAAATATATGTATAAAAAACAGCAACTTTTGGATTTTTATACCAAATCTCTTTATTGTAAAAAAATTCAGCAGAATAAGTTCCAAGTCCAAACTGTGGTTTACCGTTTCGAACCAAACAGAATTCCAAAGGAAAAACTCAGAGGTTCTTCCCTCTCTCTCAACCACCACGCTGGACTACCAGCAAGACAGAACAAGGCCACTGCATGTGTGTGTGTGTGTGTGGGTTTATATATATAGATATATCCATGTGTACCAAAACCTTATCAGAGTAGAGCAGGCATGAGACGAACTCCAGCTTGCGGTATTAATCCATGGAAAGCCCTACTCTTAGTCCCTTTATCAGAAGAGCTACGCACAAAATTCGCGCATAAAAACTCCCGCTTTGCCCGCCACCCTTCTCCTCTCCCCCTTTCAACCATTCTTCCCACCCCTGCTCCGGGATCCTTTACGGGAAAACAATCCCTCCTCCTCCTGTAAAAGTTTCCCAATCCCCCGGCATCACTTTTCACCGATGATACTTTCTGGCCATCCAGTTCCTTCTCTGTCTATTTTCTCTCCCTCTCTCCCCCTCTCTCTCTGGGCAGCAGCAGCATTGTTTCTGGTACTTCTTTTGTTCTTAAGTTTTCCCGCCAAGAATCCTTTTCTTTGAAATCCTTAAAACTTTGGAAAAGGAGAGGAGATTACTAAAGCCACTGACAAGTTTTCTGCGGATGGGGTTATAGGAGTGGTGATTTTTTTTTATTTTTATTTTTATTTTTCCTTCTTCTTTGCTGGCTGCTGGTGGTCTTGTTCTCTTCTTTCTTTACTGTCTTCTTCTTCTTATTCTTTAAGATCGTCTCGTCGTTTTCGTCGTCTTTCTCTTGCTGTTGTTGTTGTTGACGTCGTTGGTGGTTGTTCAATGCCTTTCTGCAAAATGTTGTGTTAATATTTTTGGTTTTTATTTTTCGTGGGGGTTTAAACACACCACGCGGAGTTCTGGAGCTGGGGGATATCTGGAGGCTTAAATGAAATCTGTGCGTAAAAGAATTGACGGAGGATGATAAGAGAGTTAAAGGGAGGAAAAAGGAGAAGGATTTAAAACCCAGAAAACGTAAGGTGGAGATTTTTAAATAAAGTTTGAAAGCGAGTAAATTCGGTTTCCGTCGCTGCTAAGTTTCTGAAGTCGCTTATTAGCCGCCAGTAAATGAATCAATTCTTAGACCATTTTCTTAATTATTGTGCTGGGGAAGTTTGGGAAGAAGAAGAAGAAGAATTTTAATTGAAGGAGCAATCACAAAAGAGATGTCTAAGTAAGATGTTCTGTATTACAAAAGTAATGCCTGAGACGGGAAACTGGGGTGAAAATGAAAAATGTATTTATTTCGTTATTGAAAATTTATGCATTTAAATCTATGCATATCATCCTTTCAAAATATTTTAATACTAAAATTTTATTTATTAAAAATGCTGTTTCCTTTATAACAAATTTATTTAAATATTCTATGTAAAATAATTAGCAAAAGTGAAGCATTACAATTATTTGAAACTTTAATATTTTAACTTTTATATTAAACGTGATGAAAACCACAAAAACTAAGCTAAACACAACAGTTTAAATTTAAACATTAAATTTAATAATATTTAACATAAATAGATGAAAAGATTTAGTGTAGTAGAATTAAATAAAAGTAGGAATATTTTTAAAGAATTTTTTAATTTTCAATCTGAATTTTATTTAAAGCTTTCTGAAAAATGAAAAACAATGTTTCTATTTTCAAATATACAGGAAATAATTTGAGAACATTTTTTTTTGCATGTGTTACGAATACTTCGTTCAAATATATATATCTTATATACTGTGAATTAAATATTTCATTTAAATAAATGGTTATAAATTCTTTAAAATCCAGATCCAAATTATAAATTATTTTAAAATATTTTTTATTTCATTATTGTATTTAATTTTGAAGAAAATGTATTATGACAAGCATAAAAAGTTTGAACACACACACACAAAATAAATAACAAATAAGTAAATAAATAATAATAATAATAAATAAAATAATGTAGTAATAGCCCTTTGTATATTCCCCTTTATATGAATTTAAAAATCTTATATTTATAATTATTAACATATTCATTAATATTAACACTAAAAATAATATTGAATATGTTAATAATTATAAATATAAGATAAAAAATATAAAGTTAAGTATATTTTAGTATAATGAATTATTAAAATCAAATATAAACTTTAAAATAAATATTTAATATGTTATAATGAAAGAAAATAACATATTATAAATTTACTGTTCTATACAAAATACTTATTTCTGGCTGACATAAAATTAATATAGAAGCAAATAGTTATTATATTATAAAAAAAAGCATCCAGTTTAATGCTGATAAAATATGCTTAAATATTATTTTTTATCAAACAATAAATTTATAAGATGCCATTTTCTTTATTCATAACATATTAAATTTTTTAAAGCTTTGTAAACAAAAATTAGTTTTAATAATGTTTTTTTCCTGTAATTTATATTTAATTAATATTTTATTCTTGCAAAGTTATATATTTAGTTCTAATAATTTAAAAATACAAAAAAGGATAAAAATTGAACAGAATTGTTGATTTAAAAAAATTCTCGTAAGGATATTCCAACAATTCTCAATTCTCATGCATATCTATATAATTTAATTCAAAACTTCTTGAAAAAAATGTATAAAATATTTTTATTCTAAGAATTGAAATAAAAATGTTTTTCATTGATAAATAAATACAAAATAAATGTAAGATTTCAAACTATCTTCATTTAAATCAGTTTAAAGTAATCCACATCAGATTGAAAAGAGTAATTATATATATATATATATATATATATATATGCATATATACAAATTTTATGTTATAAATTCGATCTCCATATCTCTATCATTTAATTTAAAACATCTTGGAAAAACATCTAAAGTATATAAAAAAAGTGATGGAAACAAATTATAAAGAGAAATTTTATTTTATTGTGCTAAATTTAACAAATATTTTTATGCTAAGAATTGAAATATAAATGTTTTTCATTGATAAATAAATATAAAATAAATGTAAGATTTCAAACTATCTTCACTTAAATCAGTTTAAAAGTTTATGCAATATTCCCCATCAGATTGAAAAGTGTAATATATATCTATATCTATATATGTGTTATAAATTCAAGATATTTAATAAATCGATTTCAATAACACACAGAAAAAAAAAAAAAACCAGGAGAAAAGACACGACATTCCCTTTAAAAAAAAAAAAAAAAAAAAAAAAAACCCACCCCATTGCAGCAGCATTGTGTACAGCTATTTTATTGGTTTCCTTGTCCATTTTTAAAAAAGGGAAAACTTTTTATAAGTGTTCCTTCTTCTATCAGAATATTAGAGAGTGCACCCTCCGAATGGCAGTTTACGGCAAAGGAAACAGGAAACTGGTTAAAGCAACAATGAGCTAAAAAATCGCTTAAAACGTACAGCAGAGAATGGAAGAAAAAAAAAAAAAAAAAGAAGTAGGCAGCAAAATAAAGAAAAGCAAAAGGAGAAGAAGAAAAATTCCACAAGAAAAGGAGGAGCGAGAGTACGGTCGGTTGGAGAAAAGAAGCGCAAGAGC